CCATATCGGTCGCGTCTCGATGGATTTCATTGTGGAGAAGAATGAAAAAGTACGCGCGCGCGTGTGTATCTGGTCAGCGGAGACCGCATAGTAGAAAGGAACGAGCCCAGCCACACAGACAATTGTTAGGAATAAGTGGACACGGCGTTCGAGATAAAATACGAGCCTCGAAGCCAGCAACGTGGGGCGGAAACACGAGGGCGCGCTATTAGATTATGGGTGGTCGAACAACAAGATTGCGGACGAAGGGGAAGAGGTCCATTAGTTTCGCCAGCCGTATCTTGCACCGTGTAACTGGGTTAACAATTTGCCGCTCTCATTCTCTGTTGCCGACCTCTTGCCGCTTTGGAAACGCGAGGAACGGGGAGAACGCAATTGGAAAATTCTCCAGCACGAAACGTTCGAGCGCGACAGCTTTAAGGATCCGTTCCACAAAATTGCTTACAACTACAATAGCCACACTATTTTTCGTTACTTCAATTCCGTATCGTCGCAAATTAAGCTGTAACGTTTAACGACGCTAATAGAGAAAGGAGGGTAAACCGTTGCCCCTTGTCACGTTGACTAGAACGATAATAATTTAATATTCATCTCGTTGAAATTGTTCGGGAAACGGTAAACATCTCGAAGAAGAAATCTAATTGGTAGTTGAAGGATTGACGGAGATGCTGGCAGGCAATGGAAAAAAAAAATATCGGGTATCAAATAACTGCATACTAGGTGAGCCCGGTCCCGGACAGAATTAAATTCCATCGAGACACTTGAGAGCGCACTGACTCCACGTGGAGGGGTCGCTCGAAAGGGTAGGTCTGCGATTTCATTCTGTCGAATGGAGGGGTTGAGAACGCTCTCGGGGGCTCGGTCGTCTGCGAGTTTGTGGCATCCAACACTCACCCCATCGCGATCTTCGGGAATCCGTCTCTCTGTCCACTCGACGGCTCTTCAACGTCTAGGACACTGCATGATCAATTCGAAACCCTGTTTGATAATTATCACAATTTTTCATTAGTTTAAGTACCACTAAACTAATCGTGTAAACTTATTTTTAACAGCAATCGCACTTCTCACATTGTTGTAAGAGTTTCAGGTCGACTAAGAAAAGTTGTAAATTTTCGCTGATACGTTTTACATTACAATTTAAGAGTGTTACAAAGCGCGTCGTTCTGCGCATTTCCACGTTTCACCTTGGGCAAGGGCTAAACCGAGTTTCGGATGGTGGTAATTCAGGAAACAAAAAGCTACAAATGTAAAAGTTGCTACTCGAACGCGTTCGAAAGCGCGTAGCAGTTGGAAACGTTTTCCACGATCCCACGTAAATAAGAGATTAGAGCGGAAGCAATTAAGTGAAACGCAATTAGTTATAATTGGTGACTGCTGAGTAGAAAACAACGCCGACAAGACCACGTTGATAGAAATTGTTTACTTGTTCAGTTGGAAATTTTTTTAAAATATTTTTTTCAATCCACCGATGGTGTTTTTAGGGTTTCCAATTTTTGATTCCACAAAGTGGCAAAATAGAAATTTCGAAAATTTCTCCTTCGCTACTTGTTCTGTGTTGCAGTATGAAATGAGTGTACCGTAATTGTAGGCAGCCTTTAAGCATCTCTGTTGCAAAGTTGCCTTGTTACAGGCGCTCTTTCATTCGCGATGTAATCTTCAACTATGTTGCTATCGCACTTGAGAGCATTGAGTACTGGTAGATAATCGAAGAGAAATACCAATTAATACTTTCAACCTTTCGCTCAGACAACATTTTCCAATTTCATTTCAGACAATCACGTAACCTGCAGTATCGTTCGAGAAAGGCGCAGAATCGGTAGAAATAAGAATTAATATCCTAGAAGCAGCTCTTCCAGCGACCTATTAACTTCGAGCCTAATTAAATCAACGAAGGAAAAACGTACACGTGGCTGGCATGCCAAGCGACGCGACGATCGCAACGATGAAACACGATTCGTGGCATCGCATCGTTGTGAAGTGGCAGGACGTCGTGGAACAGGGCCAACAGGATCGCAGCGATGGCTGAACCTGAGGGAGAGAAAAAAGAAATAGAGGATAAGGAAGTGTAGGGACAGTAAAATGTCGTTTATGGGCCGATCGGATGAAAAGCGCGGCGAACGTCCTCTTTATATTATACTTGGTCCGGAATAGCCGCGTATCTGAACGCAGGCCGAAGCTCCCTCCCGTTGAAGGATAAGGCGCATTATAATTTCGCATAAAACGTTTTACGATGACAAAATGCCGTGAACGTCTTCCTGCGACGACCATCCGCCGAGGGTTATAGTTTTAGACACACGATCTCTTGCTATACAACCTGTGCAACTCACGAAACGGCTGATTATTATTCTTTCTTTACTGACACTTGGCTGTAGGCTATGAATATTTCGTTAAGAATTCGTCGAATCTGGCTGGTTGCCAAAATCTAGATAGACGAAAAGATCCGAGTGTGAGTGAAGGTGTTAAACAAATAAAAATTGTAAGTTTTATTACTTACCTTGCTAAGCCGAAGATCCACGATGCTAGAATAATACCGTCTAGTTCAAAGGGTCGAAAGAATAAGATGAGACATTCGATGATATTTTGTTCTTTTTTTTTCCATTTTTTTCAACAGGAACGTACGTTTATTTTGCACTGAGCAGAAATACAAGCTATTCATGAAAGATGAGGTTACAGCGGCCGCAAGCCCATCGCCCCTTTAACTCCCCTCCGCACCCGGCCATCGTCAACTCGAAGAGTGTCACTTTCATCCCTCAATCGCGTCGCACACAAGCAACTCGTACTTCTCTTTCTTTCTTTCCCTCTCTCACCTCTTTTTCCCTTCTCATCCCTTCCCGGACCCGTCTCGAGTGTGCCCTTTCTCGCTTCGCATTTGAAACTCACCACCGCACGAATGTAGAGCAAGATTAATAATTAATACATGTACATATAATTACATTTTTGTGCATTATCATAATTTAATATACATACAGATGATATATATATATATATATTATAATCTTAGAAAATAAATATATATATAGATTTATATATATATTCTTCAATATCGTTTCATTCATCTTCATGTAATTCTTCTTAAAAAATAACGATATTTAGAGTACGCTACGGTGTTAATAAGAGCCACCAAGAGAGGAAAGAAAAGAATGAAGAAGAATAAAGTGGTGCGAGGCGGATTCGAGCCGCTCGTTTTCGCTTCTTTCTCTCTCTCTCTCATTCTCTTTCTCTCAGTTTCATGCACACTGCAAGTACACGTGTATGCATTATCGTATATCCGCAAGCAGCGCAACAATACACGTGCACAGAATTACGCGAGACACACACGCGATTCCTTTAAAACTTTCTTTCTCCCTTTTTACATACTTCTGACCCATTCAATTTCCCCATTCACTCTCACTTTCATCCGTTTCCCATCTCCATCTCCTTTCAACCCTTGCTTTTCTTTCATCCACCTCCTTCGATTTTCATTCATTCCTTTCACTCTTTCGTTCAATCGATCTCCGAGCGATTTTTATTCGATTTCACAGTGGCCAACGACCTCTATATATTTTCGAAAAAAACTCGTCACATCTTCGAGCTGTGTGGAAATACTTTCGTAGGAAACTTCGAGTATCGTTTCTTAGAACAATTTTCAAATAATTCAGAAACAGCTAACGATCAAAGATTATCCCGAAAGATTAGCATGAAATAATCTCAAGTGTTTCTTTGATAAAATTCGTCGTAGTAACGCGACGAATATTCGCGTAAACACGAAGCAATTTTTTAAGTCGACCGAGCTATCATTCGCATAAAAGAAACGGCCATCGTTTCGGAGCGGATGGGCCGGCACTGTCGCTAATTCACACCTAATTAAGAATTTTCTACTAAAACAACGAATCGATTCGAGCGTGCAGGGAACTTGAAATCGATTCGAAAGCCCGACGACGATCGAGGGACGTTAACAAATTCGACTAACTCGAACCTCTACGATCGAGGTTCAAAAGCGTTTCCTAATTCTCTTTTATTTTTCATACGACGATAATTGCTAATTAAAAACGATTGATTAAAATCGCGTGTGCGAAAGATCGCGTCGATCGGTGACGCACTGAAGGAGGACTTCTGTGTTGTAAAAGCAAGCTCACTCAAGCACGATGAGAAATTTGTTTATTAATTAATTATTTACAAAGCGCGGCCGACCCGGTCGCTCCGTTAGCCGAGTAAAGAAGCGTGCGCCATTCGTTTACGCAAAAATCATTTCTAGGCGGACAACAATTATTAAAATCGATGGGAACCGCGCTGTGAGAGGACATCGTCTCGAAGGTAAAATCTATCTCTCGTCTTCTTCTTTCTTTCCAGAGCGCAGAAGAAAGTTGCGATCAGCCAAAGGGACTTTTATGAAAATAATAAAAATAAAGTATCGTCCCTGTCGACCGTGTTACAATCGCGTGAATGCACTCTGAAAATATTTCCATCGATCCGTCGTCCATCGATTGTCGCGTTTCCCATCGATCGTTCAGCGATATTCGTGCACACATCGAATTAAAAACGTTTCGATCGCAAAAGCGGGCAGGAAGAACGTTCTCTCGTCAACGTCGAGCCATCCTCCGCATCGTACACTAACGTTCGATACACTCAATCGATCGATCGTGGTCCGGTATCGATCGGAAATCGACGCGTAACGTCGTCTTTACAGGTGATGATCCGCTTCGAAGCTCGCGAGCCGAGTTCAAATCGCCCGGCTCGTCGTTGCTTTCGCTTTTGTACAGTGAACGAATGAAACGAAGGGTAACGTTCAAAAGATAAAGAACAATGCGATAAAGAGTAAGGGTTGTTACAATTCTTAATTGTAGCAGCGATATCGATAATATAATGATAGCAATCAAGGCTCCCCGCGTTAGGGTAAATAATTTTCGTAAAAATTACCGCGCAAAGCAGTCGTAAGAAACAATTCGCACGCACATTTTATCTTTGTTTCTTCGTTTCCGAATCTTCTTTTTATCTTCTACCCCCGTGTACACTTTCTCTTATCTATTAAACTGCTTTGATTCTCGACACGCCGCTACCACGAGATATTACACCCCTTTTCATGCACACACCCGGTACGCCAACGCGTCTTTGCGATCTTTAAGCTTCTTTGTACATCTTTGTTCTTTTCACGTGCACGCAGTCGCGATCTTTCTCTCATACACGAATCTTCTTGGCTCTTTGTTCGTTTCCTCGTATTTCAATCGATCGTCGGATAGAGATTTCCTTTTTCTTTCTCGACGAAAGTTGGAAACGAACTGCAGAACCAACAAGAAGAAAGAGAAGAAGGAGAAGAAGTAGAAGAAGAAAGGAAAGAATTAGACGTACGAATGTGGAGCTGTTGATTGGTTAGCTCGTTTTTATCCCTCCGTCAGTCGTTCATGGTTCGCTTTCCTACCCAATGGGGCTGTTGGGCCTCGATAAGGGATCATGGACATTCGATTCAAACTTTCAATGCTCTTTGGAATCACCAGAAAATTTTACAAACTTTTATAATCTACATCTGCTACGAAATTGCCAGTTTTTAAATTGATACATAACACGGTAACTAGAAAGAAAGTAAAAGGAATGCTGATGGCGGTCGATAATATTAGCGCGTCTGACCATACGCGGACCCTTTTCACTGCAGCGGTCAACGCGTTTAAAGAAACTCACAGAAGGATAAGGAATTTTTGTACCTTACAGGACTCTATCAGGGTTAACTGGAACTCGGAGCTGGCAACCTTTCGATGAGCAAAAATCGAACGTCTATGAATATTTTCTTAGAGAGGGATCAGAAAAGAGGGTGGTAGTAACTTTTACCAGACAATTTCAAGGGTCGCAGGGTAACACGAGTAAGGGTGTATCAGTCGATTGTAGGACGCAACTGATAAATATTTCTCGGCTCTGCTGCCGTGTTCGGGTTCGATTCCTTCGAAATCCCGAACAACCGACGAACGTGGTAGAAAATTACAGTATCTCGTGCTTGAAGACTTTCGAGGCGAGTCTGTTGTTGTTATTGTTGTGGTTCGTCTATTCCTGCCAAAGTATCTTGCACACGTTTCGTGCCACTTCCCTATCCATCTTTTCCTCGTTGAATCTCGCGTGTCCTTTTTGGAATCGGCATGTAGGCCTGCGTACGTATAAAGAGTAATTAGGCGTTGATCACGAAACGAGAGCACTCGTCGTTTCAAAGGGAGAACCCTTCGTTTTTCTTCGCTCGATGTTTATTTCGTACAGTGCTTTTATTTTTCTTTTTTTCTTTTTTTTTGCGGGAACGATGTTTAAAAATGGGGCTCAATATTCGTTCATCCCTCACACGCTCTCTCTCTCTCTCTCTTTCACGATTTGATCATATTTTCTCAGTTTTTTCTTTCCACCTAACTACTATCGGTAATCCTAACGGAATACTCTAATTATACATTTACATTTACATATATATATATATTTATATAATAATAGCCGATACAAATATCACATGTGATCACCTACTGGACTCGTTACACGAGTTCTCGCTAATCCATTGTACAAAACGTCGAGTCTTCGAGAGAGTTTGAAATCAGCGCAAAGTTCTCGACTGTCTGGAAGTCGCGATTAGTAAATTAGTCCCGATACTCTGGAAGGATATTTTCTTTTTTTTTTCTTTCTTTCTTTTCTCCAGCCCGTTTTTGCTCCTGCCTTTTCCTGGTTCGATCCGTTTATTTATCTTTCCCTCTTCGATACGAGTCGTTCGAAGGACAGGTTTCCCTGGTAAATCGTATACAATACGTATCGTTTCTCGCTGAAATCCAGCGTCGAGACCGTTCGAACGACGAGACCCCGTTTCCGGCCAACCCGTGCCGCGACTATTTCGCGTAAATTTAAAAAACGTGTACCCGCTTAATCGCGCTCGTTTCGAAACGAAATGGCTGTTGTACACGCTACAGATCGAGCTACACGATCCCCGTGTGTACGTGTGGGTGCAATCGACATTGCCACGTGTTTGCAGAAGCAACCTATGGAATACATGGGCAGGATATATCGACGGGGTCCCAGAGATGGTTCGTTGGCTCGATTTTCGTTGGACAGCCCCAAGAAGAGCGGTGTCGAGGGATGTTCCTCTCGACGAGGTGATCGATAACCTCCAGAATGCTGAAGCAGCAGGATAACGCATTGAAACGTTTGATTTTCGCTCGAAATCGTTCACTGAATATATGTTCCCGTAATCAAAATTCTATTTTACGTTTTTTAGAATTATAATTTAGTTTTTCTGCTTCCAGGGGTATCGATCACCCCGAGATGAGAAAGCAGCAGAACACAGCATCGACGGAAGAAGAAAAAAGTAGAATAAGATGAAGATGAAGAAGAAGAAACGACGTCGAGAGAAAGGAGCGACGACTGCTGAAGCGCATTCTTCGTTTATTATAATCTTATTCCCCGACGGTAAAGAAAGCTGCGATTACAAGACTCTTCACTCGCTTAATCTCGCCCTCTCTGTCTTTCTTTCTCTAACTTACTATTTCTCACATTTTCTTTTCCTTTCAATTTCAGTTATTTCATCGTTCGTTCAACTTTTGTCGTTATACAAAATACTTGTTTAATGTTTCTTCACGTTTTCACGCTCGAAGGATCACACGTAATAAATCACATTATCATAATATGTTAATTATTCACAATTATACAAATAGAGATGTGTAGACAAAACGAGGTCGGAAATGATCTCTCGTTCGACTTTCACTTTGTCCGCAATCATTCCCACCTTTTCCTCGTTCCAATCACACGCTCGTTTTCATAGACAAGAAAAAAACTGATCACTCGCGCGCCCACCTATTCACTCCTCGCTGTAAATGTAATTACTTCTAATAATGAAAACACACCGTTCGTTTTACGTACAAGAAGAAACGTCAATAATCGACAGTTAATCGTGGTTAAAACAGATTCGCGGTCGTATGCCTGTATAAAATCCCTAAAAATACTGTTATTACCCTACCATGAATTGTGTTGGATGACGACAGTGACTATGCGGTGACTGTTGGATCGTTTTTGTTTTTTAGATTGATTTCGGCTTCGTACCGCAAGATGATCTCTCCCCAACCTGAAAACAGTCACATTATTACTATCTGTTCCTTTATCTTTTCTGTTGAATTCTGCTGTTGCGACTCAAAGGGAGAGTCGATCTCGCGGTGACTAGCCCGAAGTTCGAATCACGGCCAAGATCGATTTATTCGATTTATTCTGGTTAGGCCTTCAGGCACACCAACGATGCGATAATTCGTCGTTTCGAATCTTCACGTTGGTTGTTACGTGCCTCGTGAAAAGCGAGTTTCTAACGGAATGCATTGTTTGCCCTCTCTTCAAGCTTCGTTCTACCTCTACCCTCTGTATCGTAATCGAATTTCAACCCTCTTCTTTCACCTGTATCGAGTTCCCTTTCTTGTTATCCTTGATTTTTCCTGTTCTGTTTCGTGACGAGATCAAGACGCGTCATTTTGCGTACGGACTGTGCGTGTATGAGTTTATCGTTGCAGTGTTTTACTTTTTCTTTTTCTTTTTATGAAGAGATGAACGTATATCACCCCAGTGGAAGTGTTTTCCGTATGTGCGTGTGTACCCGGTTCCTTATTTCTTGTTGTGTGCGTGCATCATGTAAGAATGAATTAGACACGGAGAAGGACGGACGCCCCTTAATACGCGGCGCCCTCTGTTTTTTTTATTTTTTTTTTTTGTTTGTTTTATTTAACTCGTTGCACGATTTTTAAAAGTCTTTAAATGCCAAAGGTCACTTTTTAAAATTTAGGTACCTCGCAACTCTGTTCGCCTCGCTTTTTACCTTTCCTCTCTGTTGCAGCCCTCACACGTTTTCATTTTTCTTTTCTTCTTCTTATTTTCTCTCCTCCTAACTTTCAGACAACTCTCGCGCTCTCATACTCACACGAAAATTCTCATCACGCGGAAATCTTCACACCCTTAGCGGTTACACTAATCACTAGACTGCGGAACTTTATACGCTTGTAACATAAGAAGTGTAATGTAAAACATACGTGATATATACGTGAAAATGAAATAACTTGTGTCGAATTTGTAAAACATGTAAAATTAAAGCGATACTTTTAATTATTCGGAGAAAGAAAATATATTTGCATAAAAATCCACAGTCTACTAATCATTAACCCCTCTCAATATTTAATTTAAATCTCTCCTAAAGACGTAATTCCCTAAAAATAACGTTAGTGCTTTAAATCAGTTCGATTCGTAGTGCTTTAAATTTCCTCCCCGTTTCGTATCCTTTTCCTCTTTTGGAAAATCAATTCAACGAGGAGTGTAGTAAAATTCGAAATCGGTACGCGTTAGTTTGTAAAAAAGTTAGAAACTATCGAGGGGAAACAATTTACGTAAACTATCTTTTCCCCGAAGCGTCTTTTTTCCGCAATTCCATGAATGGTGGTGTTACGTCGCGGCAATTAATCGTTGATTCAATTAGACATCGTCGCTTTCCGATTAGCAACGAAATTCTTTCTCCGTTCACGGAATTAGAAACCGATCGTCTACTGAGACATTCTATCGAGAAACAAGAAAACTTTCTTCTCCTCTTTCCCAATTTTCCACTTTTACCTAACTCAATCGTACCTCGCCTAAAATGTTCGTTTTCAACTTTTTGAAAATCTTCGTTTAACGCACAAAGCTAATTATTCCTTCCTCCCACTTTCGTGCCATCATTCGTTCATTCACGCTGTTCCCTATCATACATTGAAAAATCCTGTAATTTACAATTACTATACAACGTGACTGAAAATAGCTTAGACCACAATTAAATACAGTTACGATCGGTGCCGCGATCTGTCTACATTTTCCCATTTCCTTCCCCGTTTTCATTCGTTGCCCGCTTGTTCAGCTTTTCAGTTTCATGAAATTTCATTCCGTTTCTCATCGTTCGCCTCGACCTTATTGTACGCGAGTATCATAAAACACTTATGTCCACATATCGTACCTCGTACAACGATACAACTTCTTCTAAAAGGTTCCTTTAGAGTTTTTCTCTTAGGTACTTACATCTCTATCTATGTATATCCACCTATCTATATTTATAGACTTTTTTTCTTTTATATAATAACTCTTTTAAATCCCCCCCCCCCCCAATCCCACCTCTTTTTAATCATTCTTTCTTCTCTTTCTCCTTTCCTCTCTCCGTTCATCTATTTATCTGCCTATCTAAAGGTGTCTATCTAACGGTCTAGCTATCCATCTATCTAACTAAACTTCTAACTACCATTTATTAGTTCTTAAGGTGTCCGCTTTTCACGTCATCTCTCTTCTCTTAGTTTCATTATTCTTCCATAATTTTCCGTCGCGTACCGAGCTTGAAAACAATGCACTCGCGTTGCATTTCGATCGTTCGTTATGTATATATATATATATATATATGTATATTATATATCTACAGGGTTTCGTTGGTTGCCGAGATGGAAACGCGGGAAAAAGCTCGTCGCGATCGCGAGGATCGATCGTTTATCGAACTCGATGGTTCACTTTGTCACCGTCGTCGTCGCCGTTCGAGTAACTTTTTCTTTTCGGCTCGTGATCATCGTCGCGTACGTTGCGAGCTGGAAGAAGCAATTTTCTCAGTCGCGAAGGGACGAAGGGCAAAGATTGTATCCGGATTTGTCGATCTCGAACGGAACTGGAGGGTGGCTCGTTTCGTCCCCTGCAGGCGAAACGATCGGGACGAAGACGAGGACGGGTCCTTGTAACGAGAGATCGTCGTGATCGAGCGACGAGCACCGTTTTCGTATCCTCGTTTCACCTCGCCTACCAGAGACAAAGAAAAGAAAAGAAAAGAAAGAACAAAAATATAGAGAAAGAAGAGTGTTCGGGGCGTCCTGGAAGGGCCGCCTCACGATACCTCGTAATATATGGCTATCAAAAAGACATCTGGCTCTCGTTATCCTCCTTATCCTAAGTTCTTGTAAATGCTGCATATATATATTTACTTTATTTATAGTTATCCGTGAACATGGTAACAAATAATGAAACACTGACAAAAATTGCACAATATACAAACTTAGTGTTCTTTGCTATTTCTCTATCGCACACACTCTTTCTAATTTTTCTCTCATTCTCTTTCTCTCTATCTCTTTAGATCTCCCTCGAAATGGATTCGTTTATGCGTTTTTTTTTTTTTTCATTTCTCGAAGCCCCACCCCCAACCCCGATATCGATCCCGATCCCGATTCAATTTGGAGCACATTCTCGCAAGGAAAAAGAAAAAAAAAATAAGACGGTCACTCGCTCACGTCACGCACCTCGACGCACCCCCATGCATTGACGCAAAGAAAGAAAAAGAAAACTAAAGAGATATACAGGTGCACAAACATCGAATTATCTTGTCGCACGCATACAAAACGCAGCCACACGCGCGAGAACCGCGTCTACGCTCTCGTCAGTCAGTCAGGCTTACTTACAAGTAGGTACGGTATCGTTTTACGTTCTACGTGCGTTATCAGTTAATTTATTTGGCCACTGAACATTTAAAATTTAGTTTCATTATCTTGTTTTTTTGCTTTTCTTTGTTTTTTTTTTGTATTTACTTTTTTCTTTAAATCTTCGTTTAAATCTTCGCTCGCCAGCACCGGCGGCTGTATCTGTACGCTAAAGCGCCTTCAGGTAAGATTAGTCTTCTTAAGCGGTAAACTCCTTCCATTTCGTTTCTCTTATCTCTCTCACATTTACCCCTTAACGTTATTAACTATATTTTACTACTACTCTATTTTGTTCACCATTCGTTCGATGAGCGATCTACGGATCCTTTCGTTTCGTTCAGTCCCCGGATACATCGTCGGGTAACTTATCGCCGCGTTACCATTACGGTGTCGTCGTCGACGAATACTTAACGTTTTTCTTATCGATGATTATTACACTTTAATCCCCCCGTCTCCTGTTTCTACCCCCTGCGTGAATTTCGGTACCGCCACGTCGCGCGGTTAATCGATGATCAAACGAGACAACGGTGTCTTCCGACCGGAAGTTTAACGTACGAGAGACGCAGAGTGTCGGTGGTGAACGGTCGCCGTCTGCCATCCGGTTCGCGCGAGTACGAGAGGGGGTGGCGCGGTCGGATCGAACGGGTTCGACGCGTGGAAACGGTTCTAGAGCTTTGTGCGGAATGTTGCCCGTTTATACTTTGTCCACTTACGTATTAATAATATATTGTTTCGGTGAGTAAGACGAGAATATTAAAAAATATATATTATATTTATATATTTATATCATTTATTTCTGTTGAGCCTCCGACATGAGTCTCGCCCGTCAGCCCCCGATATCGTCGCCACCCCTCGCCCTTATCCGCGCGGTTCGTCGACCACGCGAAGCGTAAAACGAAGATTAGAAACATTGCCTAAAGAAAGCAATCGTACAAAAGTACAAAGTCAGATTTGTCCGTTTGAAAAACCATAGGACGCGCGTCACTACGAAACAAGCATTGTTCCGTTGAATTTTTAAGGAATAAAGATTTAATCGGGACTGGGATTCGATTCGCTGCGCTCATCAAACGAGGATCATTGTCTTCTTCGATGTCGTGGATCACCCTTCGAACTTGTGGCGAAGGGACGCGGCTCTTTCTTCCTTAAAAATCACTCGATGCGATGATGTCGCGATGCTAAAACGGTCGAATCGTCGTTGGTTCGCGGACGTGGTAAAAACGGGGACGCGAGAAGAAACAGGGGAGGGGGTGAGAAACAGAGCGAAGGGGAAAACGGGTTGAAGGGAGGAGCCTGGCGAATATAATTCGTACTGTAAATTCGGGATTAGCGTACGGCACGGTAAACTTTGCCTTCGTCGAAACTGGCCGAAATCACGTATTCAATTACGCGTCCTACTCCTCCGTAACCCTTCCCCCGACCCTTTGACGACCCTTCGCGGTTCCACGGTCCCGTTCGTTCGCGAACACAATTTCGATTATTGCTCGTCGTCGTAGGATCGAGGCTCAAAAGCGTCGTACACGTTTTCAACTGACGAGCGGTTTTCTTCGAAACAGCCCCGTTCGCTGGGAAAAGTGAGAAGGAGAGAGAGTGTGTGTTTTGAACGGTATACACATACACGCGTTAGAGAAAAGAGAGAGAGAAAGAGGAAACAAGGGGGGAAGGAAATAACGTTTGGCACCGACAGACATCGTGTTATTGTCCTCGCGAATCGGGATTCCTTGATTTTCATTCGAACATCGTCGCGACGCCTTTGATGCATCGTCTGCTCGCTATCCTGTTCCATAGAATTTTCGTACACTTACTGTTTTTTTTTATTTTCACGATTATTTCAGTTTTATGGATCTCGAGAATTCGACCGTTTTACGAGAGGCAGACGACTTACAAGATTCTACGCGAGTCGTGCACCGTTGTCGCTGAAAGAACCGACCTGTGTCCCGTTCGCTCCTTCCCCGTCCTCGACCAGGCTCAAAGTGTCCCGACGGTACAGCGTTGACCTTAGAATTTAGTGAATTGGCAGTGATTAACGTCCCGGACGAGACTCTTCGAGCGAGAGTCACGCTGTTTTCAAGCCACTCATCCCGGAGGCTTCGTTTGATCGAATTGGTACTGGTTGTCTTTTATATTTTGCCGTCCTGTCTCGCTTGATAAGTACCGTCGGTCGTACTTCGAGCCCCGTGGCAAACTTTTTCTTCCGTGTTTCCGACGAAAGAACTCGTCTCGATCAACGAGGAGAGGAGCACGCGGTGCCGGTTGCAATTTCCCATTGCAATCTGTCGATCGATGTGCACGGAACGTCAAACTTGTCCGGTCGGTTCTTGTTCGTCTTGGAGAACAACCGGCCCACCGGAAGTGAACGTTCTCCACCGTTTATATCGTTGATCATCGATCATTGCTGCAAACGGTAAGCCGTCGGATGTCGAATGATCGTTATCCCGACGAATACGTGGCTTTAAACGGCCACGCTAAAATGACGCGTCGTTACGATCGTCGATGGTCGATGATCGATGATCGAGGTCGGTTTGCCGCGTGTTTCGTCGGGTGCATCGGTATGGAAGAAACGCGATCACGAGGATCCCGTTCGGGCTTGGAGATCCTCGGGGAGGAAGGAGCTTCGTCTGTCGGTCCTGGACTGTTGCTAGTGTGGAGGACCGCTGGCGGAGAGGATCGATTACACGTGTCTCTTCATGTGGAGGGCTAGGTGATCGCTGCGAGAGAAGCATCGGTCGCAGTGCCGGCATTTGAACGGCTTCGCGCCGGTGTGCTTGCGGTAATGGCGGGTCAGCTCGTCGGAACGCGCGAATCGCCATTCGCAACCCTCCCAGCTGCACTTGTACGGCTTCTCTCCTGAAACAGAAAAACAACTCCAATGTTAAACGAGTTCGCGAAAATCCGTCGAGTAATAAAAGGATTGTTCGCAATTAGCAGCCGAAGGTGAAACTAACGAACGCAGCAGCAACGTCCGTATAAAATCTCCGAAGGACGGTGTCAAACGGTGATTAACATAATAAAAAGCAACAGGGATAGCGCTTAACGTTATCGCTCGGGGCAGTGTAATAAATTTTGTGAACAGCAGCCAGTTCATAACCGGCCGATATTCCGCGACACAATGCACGAGGATCCGGCTTCGTACACCTCCGTACGGAAGGGGGGGATTTTATTGTTCCGAGCACGCGCGTCTACCCTTAAAATTACTAAAACCTGACCGAGGTATATAAAATTTCGCATATAAAATTCTCTTGGCTACGGGTGCTGGATCGACGATAAAACGCGACGGGCTGAAGGTGGCCCGTCGACTTTCTCTGACGGCACGTGTGCGCCACGCTTTCCAAGGGATGATCGAGGGAAAGGGGTAGCGTATTATTAACCCGTAAATAATCTATTCGGTAATATGGAAAGTGGCTGACGTTGATGAGACTCGCGTTACGGAACAGAAAATGCAGGATCACCACCTGTGGCGCTTCGACGTCGAGGTTAACAAACCTGGCAGAACTTTGCACCGTAAATAAAAAAAAAGAGCATAGGAGGATGAAAAAACAGGGGTCGATATACGAGACTCCTGTCGCGTTTGAAAGGGTTAAAATCGCAAAGGGAGAAAGTTCTAAGTGAAACCGCTTTGAATATAAATAAAATAGCGTTGAAATTGGAGAACGAAGTCTTGAAGGACTTCGCGAAGTCGCATATATCCCAAAGCCTGCTATTAAGGCTTGAAAAACTTCGGGACTTTGTCTTTGCGGATTTAGTGACAGGTGAAGATTTTGGAAGACAAGTTGGGAGATTGCGGAGGATTTGGAAGTCGAACGATCGGGGATAAAGCTTTGGAGACGTTTCACGACGGACTTTAAAGCGGTAGAATTGGAAGCGTTTCGTTACACGGTAACGGCGCAACGTTCGCTCGATGTATCTTGCGCTGTAATCAGCCCCTGGTACGTCTTGGTCTTTCATAAAAACCGGAATAAAAGAGCGCGTAATGACAACCGCCAGGATAAAGCAATATAAACGATCGTATAAAACCGGGTGTAAAACGTTTCACATCTACATCGCACCGTTGTAAACTTAATGAATCAAAAAGGAAGAAAAAAGTAAGATGTAGCGACCAATGTGGGCGTTTATCGTCGCGTGGTAGGCTAGAAATTCTTCTAAACGACGTTTGCTTCAGGTATCACGAAGGGATTGAAAAAATTCATACTCCTCTTCGTTCTTTCTTCGAAGTTGTTCGGAGAAAACCTTCACGAGATCCGGTCTTTTTCAAAGAGCTTCGAATTCGTGGCTGAGGTGACGATGACAAATCCAGCTCGAACGTGGCGGCGCATAACCAAATTCAACCCCTAACCCCTCTGACTGCTTCGACAAAGATACCCGACATTCGGGAAGCCACGAGTTTTCCGGAAAATACGACATCCACGCCGTCTCGTGCATCTTCTTAAGCGAACCATCCCTCCTGTTCGAGGACACCAGAGAAATGGTGGCACGAATGAGCGTCACTTTCACGTTGCATGGCTAGGAATCGCTATCAGGCTGGCAGGAATTCCGTGAAAGACGAAGATAAGCCGTGCTCAGTCAGGATGAAGTGAAAGGGACTCGATGCTGCAGCGAATACAAACTTTGTCCGTTGCATTCCGCTAACAAATATACCAAAAAATTGTTATCGAGTGCATGGAACATCGAAGAGAAATGAAACTTGTGTTTGTACATGGGTCTATAATGTGTTGTACTTGTTGACATTTCAGAAACGTTCGCTCAAGATAGATGGAACCCCAGGTATTCAGAACGTTCTTTAAATCGAGCATGATCCCTGTTACGTTCCACTGCACACAACCGTGTACCTAAAACACCGAGTTTCCACGGTGTTTGTCGGGAACTGTGGATTATAGCAGTACGCCGAGCGAATCTGGGACAGTCTATAGCTCTTTTTTTAAATACAGCCGGGAAATATTGATAGAGCCGGAGGTTGAATGGTCCAAAGAGCACCGTCTGTCTATAATGCGACTCTTTTCTACTTCGGATACGCTTCGAAGTGGAGCATTAGAGTAAAATCACGAAGAAACAGAGATCCCGTATTTTACCTTTATTCACTTATATTATTTCTGGAATAATTTATTCAATTCGCATCGCTCGCCTCTGTCCGGTGTTCCAGAAAAAAAAGATTGAATGGAAAAAGGTAGAATATGGGTGTCTTTCAAAATAACTAGATATCGCGATCGCTGTCCCATTACACTCTCATTAACGGGACGGTCTCGCCTGTATCTACACCCTCCAACTTTATACAGTAACCCCCTATCTCCATCTATACACTCTCATTATTAGGACATTAGTGTTCCCCGATCAATATTCCACCTTCCATTCCTACCTTTCCCACCATTCTCCACAAGCCAATGCCTCGAACCATCCCCTTGTGTAGGGCCGATACTGAAAATCGCCTAGGGTCGAAGCGAGTTAGAGAAAAAAAAATCAACGGTACCAGTTACACGTGCAATTAAACCGACAGCGGAGGAAAGAAAAGGAAGGAAAAAAAAAATCAGTGGTCGGGCACGGGTGGATGGGTGCGTGGATCGCATCGAAAAGGCAAATTGAATTTTGAGTAACCATGGTGACTGCGTAACGCGGCGAACGACCGCAGCCGGTGTGTCCACGAGCGGGTTGTACGCGTCGAACGAAGCGTGGGTCAGTCAACTTGGACGCGTGTGCGTGTCGAAACGAGCGAGTACAGGGCCGGCGAGTGTGCGTGCTACGAGAGAAACACGGGCCAGGTGGACGGACCGAGTGGTAGTGGTTGTGTGGGTGCATCGTGCGTTGCGCATTTTATCGCCGCATAATGGCCTCCCGGCGGTTCGTTACCACCTACGTAATAAAGCCATATTAAACAGGACGGCTTAAAGTGTTAACCTGTGCCCCCACCTCCCTCGTCCAACCCCTTTTCGAAGCCGTAACGAACGTTGCTATGAACGATAGCCCCCTCCGCCAACATCCCCGTCTTCCTTTCGGATGAATATCAGCCTGCTGTTTATTTCCTGCCTTTATACGTATACACGCTTCGAGAAATCGACGTAATTTCTTCCTGTTTAAAGAGGGATGATGCGCCATTGTTTGGCGGCGCCAGGGTTATTTGTTGCATAGGGTTGATAGTAGTATAAGGGTGACTACTCGCGCATATTTCTTTTGTAATTTTCACTATTTCCGCAAACTATCCCTCTACATTTCTCTTTGTAGAAGAAATTTTCCCTTTCGTCCGGGGGTGCTGCGTTTTATTCACACATTCTCTATAAATTTTCCAACACACTCGTAGCGGATCGAGTAGAAACAGAACGATGGACGAGGACAGTCGAGGAAGCTAGAAGTGGCTGGTTGGTTTCGTTCACCGGCACTCGAACGATTTTTCTATGTCCTTCCTTCCATCTGACGTTCCTCGAGAGGTCTGAGTGGGTCGGTATTGCGTCGATATGTCAGTCCGTCCCCGGCAAACGTGTGCTCGTCGTCTTTGCATTTTATTAAGTCCGTCGCCGGCGACGATGTATAGGCCACCTTCCGTCATGTCGTCGTACGGATTGGACAAGCGGAATTTATGGCCAAGGATTCCGTCGCACGGCACTCCGGCCCTTTTACATCCGGACACGTTTCGTCACGAGAAACGTTCCTGCGGGGAAACGCGTCTAATACCTTGGTCCTTTTTCCACGGATCCGCGTGACAGATCGTGCGGACTGCGGCAAGTACGAAGGGCTGGAAAGTTTCCCGACCCGGGAATTCGCTCAGGAGGAGTAAAATTTTTTACAGTTTCGACGTGGGAGAGATTCGATCGCTGGATATTCCGATGGACATGCTCCAAGAGGAAACGAATCGCTCGGAAATCTTGGAACGATTTTACGTATACGGTCCGTCATTGCGGTGGTTTTGTTTTTACGAGCCTTTCGCTTGCACGTCGAAAACCGGCATTTGAAAATTTGCAAACCGTTTCGATACGATCATTGTATAATTTTGCAGTTGCTAGTTGTATCTGTGGTTTATATTTTCCGTACACGTATAAACGCGGCGTTCGAAAGGGATTTCGAAATCGCATACAAATTGTAGGATTAGAATTATCGTAAATACCGTACGTCTGAAAATTTCGCTCGGAAATTCGATTCGTGGTAGAAGTAAAAATTTTCTCGCGCTTCTTTGAACGCTCAAGTGGAAACACCGAGTTTTCTACGAACGGTTGCACGTTATATCTTCCAGGAGCTGGATCTACGTTTACATTGGATGCTACGTAGACGGAAAGTGTCAAACAGTGTTGCCAGGAATCAAACGAAGTCGATACAAGACGGTTGGTGGAATTTTATCGGTTCGAATCCCTCGTGGAACCGGCTTCGCGACAGAAATGGAACTCTTAATTAACGGGAACTTAATAGAATTTAATTTCTACCTGGAACCCGTTTCGTGGAGAACTAAATGCATTTCAATGGACTTTGATCAAAGTTACATAAACGTCTAAAAATACTTTATACTCGGTAAAAAAAATTACCAAAAAGATTTCGTTTCTTTAACAAACGAACTACATATTTCAACTTTCAACAATGCGAAATTGAGAACTCACGAGTAAAAGAGTTTTCCACGAAAGATCAATAATGATTTTTATTCATTCAAAAGAGTCAAATTAGTGCCAGATAATTACCTTGGACTTTCTCGTTAAATCTACCTCTCTCAAGATTTTCCACAATAGAAATTCGTTCCGGTAGAATGTTGTTCGTTGAACAAGGAGATAGAAAAGAAAACGTCCTGTACCTCTTGCGAAAATTTCGACTGAACGTGTAAGAAAAGGAAAACTTTGTCAGAACCGCAAAGAAAAATTCTACATTGTCCTGACAGCCAT